TAACTACCCTAAAAATCATCAGGAGGATTTCAGAATCAAAGTAACAAAAAGGACATACCCTCAATGCTTAGCTAAACTTTATGACTTAATAAGGTAAAAATGAATGTTTGAAGCTAGATGAGAAGTCATCATTTTAACGAGGTTGACACGGATCTGTACTGATTCCAAAGACAGAATTTTTATGTATAGCATTTCTAATTCTTCAGGCATAATTTATAATAAGAGACAAGTTCCTTAAAATTTATTTAAAGATTGAATAACATGTGCTGTTGCTGCCAAATGGGAGGAGACATACAAAATTCCCCCTCACTTTTCACTCGATCCCTACTTATGACTCCTTTAACTTAAAAAAAAGAAGTATCAAATATTCCTGCTTACCATTACATGTAAGGCTAGTAGACTCTTTATTGAAATTTCCACAAAATACAGCATCCAAAAGTGGAAATTAAATTTGAAAGTAAAGAAAGGCATAACAAATTGAATTGAATTATCATTACCTGTGATAAACACTTTTCTGTCCCAGAAACATGAACATCAGAGTGACTGTCTGGATTCTTTCACATGCTAGAATTGATGCCTAAAAAACACTGTTTGGGATATGATTTCTACAAAGTACAGAGAGACTGAACCATCAAAGCCATTATTGGCTCAAGGAAGAAAATGTAAGGGAAAGGGCCATGTCAGACTTATTACCTATGCAGGCTTACACTGTCATCCATTATCCAACTTACTGGGTGTGAAATGCTAAAAGCAGAACTAAGATTCTGGGACTACCACTCTGTTGCTTTTTGTATTATTGAAGAAAAAAATGTATTCATTCTTTACAGTCATATTTATAGAATGAGTCATCATCAATTATATATCAATATAGTTGAAAGTAAAACATCACAGAGCACTTTAAATGTGCTCACAACTACCATTTCTACTGAGCCTGCTATTTATCATGTTCTGGTTATAGGTGATCTTCAAGGTAGGTCAAGAGGGAAGAACTGGAGAAATGAGACCCAAAGAAAGAAAGACATTTTGTAATTGCAAAAATGAAGGCGTGCTCTGGATAGCATGTTTGGTTCTTAAACATCTTCTTTCCCCTTTGTAGTACAACAACTTCATAGTGTAACTTTATAGCATAACTTGATAATGTAACAATCATTTCTTACAGTAATCTTGTCTTTTGAAGTAGAAATCATGTTTACCGAGGCCAGTCGGTGCCTGGCATTGATAATGTTAGCTGGGCATTGTGAAGGTATGTCTTTGCTTCTCTTCTTTCTTGTTCCCTTTTTTTGGAGAAGAGATGAATGCATGTAAAATTCAAGAGTTATCTGTATAGTAAAGCATGAAAATTCTCAGCTAAAACAAGATAAACTGACATTCATTAAATATCTACTATGTGCCAGACATTCTAGCATTTTAACGCCTTTAGTCCTTACAATAATACTAAGAAACAGGAATCACTTTGTCTTTCTCACAGTTGAAAAATACTGAGGCTGAAGAAAGTTAAATGGCATGCCTTTGTTCTCAAAATAATAAAGAGGAAATCCAAGGCAGGTTACGCTAAGCCCATAATATAGCCATTGAAATATTCTGCCCTGCAATGCCTCTTTTATTCCAAAACTATATACATCACCTTGTAGTTAAAAACCAACAAACAAGACCATTAGAGAAGCCATATTCTTCTATTTCCTAGCAAGCATCACTTCTGAATATTTCTCTAAGTTTACAAACTATATTGTCAGGGAATGCGACTTAAAATATTACTTTTAGGTTGTGCATTCTTAGCAGAAGGAAGAAGGCTAATGTTTGTCAAATTGATGCTATTTTAGTCTTGACTCCTGGAAAATGCTCAGTCAACATTATCTAGTTTTCTGTTGTCTGTTTTAGAATAAAATGGTTATAATTTTTTTGTTAAGCTTTCCTAAGCACTAGAAAACCAACCTGATTTGAAGAGTTAGACTAAATTAGAATAGGAAAGTTATCAGATTTTCAATGATGTGACCACACAGTGCTGGAGTGTTATAAGGGATTTTATTTAACCTCCATTCAGATTATCATCATTTTCCTTTTAAAAAATATTTTTTAAAAAACAACCTAATTTCCATTTAGTTTGTAAAGCTAGGAAAAAAAAAAGTTAGAAAAGAATACATACTTTACTTTTTTTATAAGACAAAAGTAAGAGAAATGCATAAACATAAAAATGCACATACAAATATAAATATGCTGAGTTATAAACATCATCAGGGAGTTACAGCATCAGGAACTATTCCAAGTGAAATGCTAAATTTAGTTGTGATGCGTGTGCAATATTTAATATTTGCATAAGATTTCCAATTGACCTCAATGCAACATTAATACCACTAGATCCTTTAAAAGCTGATTGTAAGCAGCAAAGAGATAAGGAGAAAAGACAAAAAAAAAGTATTTCTGTAAGAAATGGAGATAAATTATATAAAATAAAAAAATTATCTCCAGGGACATTTGATGTTAGGTTCATTTTGTCGACTTCTAATTTTATTTTACCTCTATTTGTATATAATATGCAAATCCCACATAATAAACTCTTAAAAATAAGTCTGATGGTAGCACTCCTTAATTAAAAGTTAATTCCTGACTGTCAAGTAATTTAAATGAGCAACATTTAAAGAAATGGGCTGTTCTAAGTAGTTAACATAAGACATCTTTTGTTTGGTTAAATTACATATGAGGATCATCTAATCAGACTTGCTTTACATAGTTACCCCTAACAAAAATAATGCTAAAAATCAGAGTGCCAGGCATATTTAAAGTGTTTACTAATGGCAAATAACTGCAAAATTGGAAGAAGAATGTAAAATGTGAGTTAATCTGCGTAATTTTCATCAGTCTCTTCAGTACTCCACTGATTTTTACTAAATTTTATTCAACAGACTATGCCAAGCCTTATCTTTACCTATTTAAAATTTGAAATACAGGAAGCATGTTCTTAGGACCTCATATATATATATATATGCGCCAGGCTCATTGCACTCTATCCCAGCACTTTGGGAGGCTGAGGCAGAAGGATTGCTTGGGCCTAGGAGTTCGAGACCAGCCTGGGCAACATAGCAGGACCAGACCCTGTCCCTACAAATAAAAACATTTAAAAATTAGCTGGGCATGGTGGTGCGGGCCCTTAGTCCCAGCTACTTGGGAGGCGGAAGTGAAAGGATCATTTGAGCCCAGGAAATTGAGGCTGCAGTTCACGCCACTGTACTTCAGCTGGGGCAAAAGAGTAAGACCCTGTCTCAAAAAAATAAAAATAAAAATGAATAATAAAATTTGAATATGGCAAGGTAAGTCATGGATTTGTTCAAAGTAAATTAAAGCTATGGAAGAAATCTGAGAATCATAGAACTTTCTATTTACTTCTGTGATAAGAGAGCTGAGGCACATGGCAAAAATGTTATATAGTTTTTACCTATAATTACATATGAGAGGCGTGACTAAAATATTGAACTTTGCAGTTTCAAATGCACCATTAACATTTTTCACTTAGGCTTCTTTGTTTCCTAAAAATAAGCAGTCAATGTTGAGTAGAAATGTCAAGGAATCAATAAAAAGTAATTAGGAAGAGTGTTTAATGTCCTTGAGAAAAGCTTTGAGGGCAAAAAGGGAAGCTTCAGCTTAGTGAACAGTCAACAGTCTTATATTTTCTTCCATAATAAGAAGAAAGGCAATAATTTAAATTATTTTTTTAAGAAAAATAAAACATAGAAATGTCAAGCGTCACCCTGGGCCATATTGCAGTTAATGTGCTTACTTTCCATCATAAAAATCCACAAGTGAAGGCTGTCCCAGAGTACTGACTCCTGTAGGAAGTTAGTGTTAGATATACCCATGTGTGATATCAAGCCAGAGAAGGAACCCTTGTGCTAACACTCAGTTGCTTTAGCTAACCATTCCTGTCATCTTAGAGGAGAGAAACCGGGAGAAAGGAAAGAATTATTGTGTAACTTCAATATGTCAGGGCAAAAATACACTGACATATTGAATCTCATAGTGATCTCATAAAGCTCTTACTAACCTGTAAATTCTATGTTGTTTACCTGCACTTATTAGAAAGTAAACAGTATCTCAGACAGATTAGGGAGTTTGCCAAGACCCTACAGATGGAGAATAGCAGAGTTAAGATTCAAACTCAGACCTCTGACCACAAAGTCCCTACTAAAATGTCTTACGTATTTTCGATGGAGGTTTTTATTATTTTGAGGGCTAAGGACTCCTTTCAGAATCTGGGGAAAGCTATAAATTTTTGTTTACATGCACTTACAAATACCAAGCATACAATTTTGGAGTTTCATGGACCCCCCTTTTCTAAAGCCAATTCAAGTTAAGAATTCTTTATGGGAGGTCTGGCTCTAAATGACCTTTGGCATCTTCCATAATTTAGAATACTCAATAACATGATTCCATTAGCGATAAGACTAAAAGCTGTTTCCCTCTATTCATTATTTTATTTGCTTTGTTTCAGAGGCCTTTTTCAATAATCTATTTATTTCAGAAATAGGACATTTAAGAACATCACCAAAATTATTCAGATCATGACAAGATAATATAAATTAGGAAAGGAAAACTTAATTAGGAGTCTTTGGGATTATTTTAAGTATAATAAGGATGATTTAACCTTAAGGACTTTATTACAAATGCTGTCACTATTATTTTACAGATTACTTATAATAAAGGAATATTTTATTTCAATATTCAGATTTACATGTTTTACAGATTACTTATGATTATAAAGAAATGTTTTATTTAAAAGGTATCCCTGTAGATTTTTTAAAAACTCAAATATTTCATACCTATAACTTCAGAAGCTGGTGGGAGGATGAGGGCAGACAGAAAGAGAGTCTCTAATTTTTTCCTTTTTATTGAGAGAACAAAGATGCTTACCAGTCCTAAATATTCTTATTTTTCAAGTTTGGACTAGCATTATTTAATACAGAAGCCCAATTTTTTGAAAGAAAACTGCACTAACTTATTTTTTTTTTAAGTACATTCCTTCTGAAAAAAATCCCAAAATGCCACAAACCAATTAGATGTATTTTTATTTGTTTGCAGAGTGAACAGCCTCAAACACACCAGGAAACTGTACCTAAATCTTTTTTATAGTATTGTATTTAATAGGAAATTCCAAGTTGAATGATTATAACATTAAATACAAAAACCCACTCAATATAACTGTAAATACCTGGCATGAAATATAACTGTGCCATTGCTGAATAGTTAAGGGTAATGGTTTATTTCATATTAAATTTGAAACAATCTCTGACTATCCTTTCCTTCTACCCTCAATTGCTCTGGAAACAGTTATGAAAAAGCATTTTCTATAGTGACGTTTTTTCCCTTCTATCTTTCTCTCAAGAGTACGACAAAAGATTTTAAAGAAAATCTCACTTTTAAGTTTGTACAATATTATCATTGTAGGACATTATTACCACTGATTTTAGGTAATATGCTGTTACGACTACTGTGTTGTTATTATTGCTAATCAATGTAAACATTACAATGCATTTTTATTTTATAGAAATGGAATGGCAAGTCTGCTATATCTAAAAATTGGTTATGAATTACTCTAATTATCTGAATTAAAAGCATCATTTATCAAGTGATGAATAAGATTGCATCCCAGCACAAAACATATTTTTCTTTAAAAGGTATTGTTTTGAAATAAATCTCTACAAATAGATTTATTTTTACTTCTTTAGAATATTCAGATGAAGTTTTTAAAAATAAACAAACTGGTTTTATAATAGGACCTGGTAAACTTCTAAATAATTTGAATTATATTAACTCTGAAAATTAAATAAAATTTAACTGAAAAGAAAGACTCATTTCTAAAGCTTTCTTTCTATTGAAGTCCCTATTCCATAGGAGTAATTTCGACTATATATTTTAATGACCAGTGGAGTCAAAGTATCCAAGTGTGGCTAATATTTGGTGAAATATTATTTGAGAAAATTTAAAATTCTGAAAGAAAACCACCATTCCTTTTTTATGATCTCAATCATCAGGTCTCAGGGACTATTATAAAGGAATTTAAAAAATTTGAGTAGCTGCAGTATTTGTCATATTTAGAGGTTAACATTGCCAAGTGAAATTCTTGGTCAAATATTCCTTAAAATAAATGCCATATTATAATTCTAGAGTCTTGTAAAATTATACACACACACACACACACACACACACACACACACCCTATATATACCCATACACTTCTTAAAGTTCTTAGTTCTCAAGTTTAACTTAGAAAAAAGCTGACTGATCATCATATGCACAGCAAGTCCCATGCCAAAACTATTCCATTTGACTTGGTCTACAGTTTATCACAGCCTCAGATAAATTAATAAAACTGTGTACATTCTTTCTTGTTTGCCTACTCAGATACTTGTAAGTCCCATTTATCTAGCAGTAGAAAAATAAATGAGAGAAGATACAAAATATTCTAATATATCTATGCCTACATCTGATCTGTTTGTAAATATAATTAACATTTGAAAATCCTCTGTAACTCTTTCATCCCTGAGGGGCTTCTCCACGACAGTCACAGACGCTTGGTCTCTAATATACTGCTGTCAGCTCAGATCCATTAGAGACAAAGAATTAGTTTTTGTGAACCTGCCATAGGCATCTAAAACTGGGTTTGGATAATTTTTATCAGTCCAGTTTATCTCATTTAGCTAGATCATCTTTCTGTAAGTAAATTCCTCTCAAGTAGATTAATTTCCTTTAGATCTGGCTGTCTCCCCTCCCTCTGTGTCTTAAAATATGGCCACGATTTTTTAAAAAAAATTTTGTAGAGTCAGTCAAAGATAAAATGGGGAAGCCTTGGTAGGTTGGGCAATTCCTTGTAACTAAAGAAATGAAAGACTTGTTGAGGACATGTAGAAAATGTTTTTCAACAGGACTCACTGCAACGCCAGGTAGGGTTTAACTTCAAACTATTCAAGATTTATCTTCCAACCTCGAAGTTCTATTATTCCAAGGATAGGATTAAACTTTATATACACAAATGATGCTGGTGATTTTGGCTAAACTCAAAAATTTTCATATTTAAACAAGATCTGATATGATTTTTACAGATCACAAAGTGCTACATCTAAGTCTTAATTTCAAGTATCTTGATTCTAATTCATCAACTCTTACCTTGTTCACACTGGGACAGGAAATAAAGAGTAGATCAAGAGGAGATCCCCTCTTAAAGTGAAGAAATACCTAATATCCTTCACAAATTGTCTACTGTACATCTCTACAGCAAACATTTTGCCACTTCAGCACTTTTCGTCAAGTATAGCAGAAGCTACTTAAAAGACATTGTTACTTATCCCGTGCTGATGGCTATTCTTACAAGTTATATTTTATTAAATGTAGTTTTAAAAATTCAAGTGGCTACCAAAGAGTGTTTTTCCATTCAGAATTTTATAAATATATCTAACAATAGAAACAACTCTGCATTTTTTTAAGTCAAACCAATATTTTCAGAGGCCATAAAAAGCATGTCAATGATCGCAAATCTCAAATGACAGGCACTAACGGCATGTTTGTCCCCACAGATTACTAATTTCATTGATGAGACTTTCTATAGCTTTTATTGGCCATCAGCAGATGAATGGGGGTAGGGGGAGCTAAATGTACCAGGACCAATAAAACCTGCCTGTACATGATAAATATAATCTTGTTTGCACTATGACTTGAGAATTGTTACATTGCAGTGATATTTTTCCAAGAAGGAATACTTGAATGTGATCCATTAATTTCAGGACAGTAGTGACAATAAAGTATGAAATAATGAAATTTGTTGTACAGAAGTGCAGGTAACACTTAGGTATTTTTCTCAAATCGTAAAATTCTTGATCCTTGGGAAACCAGAACTTGCCTTTTAATAGAGGTTTTGAGCTATCCCTTTTGTTTGTTTATCTTGCTGTTGTTCCATTTTAAAATATATGGTTGCTTGTTATTTATTTGTTTAAGTGATGTGCAGGTTAATCTTCCAGTTTATTATATAGAAGTTGTTTCATTTTGTCTTCTGCAAAGCCACTTATGCAATTCAGTAAATCTTAGCCTGATATTATCACTGCTCTTCAAATGAAAATATCCAGATTATAAACTCTTGATAAAAGGATACGATCCTTTTGAAGATTCAACTCTAAGCTCACTTAATCTAGCTCAACAAATCAGTAAAAATTATTCAGGAACCTGTCACACATTTTATTTAATATGCCCCTCCCACCTTTACTGCCTTCCCAGAGGACACTGGAAGATGGGAGACAGAAAGAAGAAATTAAGGAAATGTTCCTTTTAATATATAATTAAAATATACCTTCCATATATAATTCCTCAGTACAATGGCAGGTAGGCAACTAGCAATTTGTTAAATTAACTCATTTCCTGGGACTCATTCTTTGTTACTGAAGGGCTACAGCTCTGTTCTATAAAGAACCACTACTTTGTAAGTGCTTGTTCAGCATATTCCATTTTTGCTGATGGTATCTGAAATTAATCAGTGTGCCAATCTGAGCACACACAAAGGAGTCAGAAAGGGCAGTGACGGCAAAGACCATCTTTAGCAGGAGTCACTGGGGTAGAGGTCTAGTATTTCCCTGGTGAAGCCATCACTTTTTCAAAGATCAATTGTGTTGTAACACCACCTCAATGAAAGCAATAGGTTTCAATCAGTAATTTTCTGAAAATATTCTCAAATTTAAAAACAGGCCATATATTTTAAGTTGTGAACATTTTTATTCCCACTGCTTTGTTAAATTTTCCTGTCTTCATTCCAAATAGTTCATATTCTAAAAGAAGCCATGTCATGGATAAAAATGAAGAATATAACAGGTTTCCAATGTGCTCTAGCCTGTGAGCTGCTGACCAGAAGAAAGAGAATTACATTTCTTTTTCTTTTTTGGAGACAGGGTCTTGCTTTGTCACCCAGGCTGGAGTACAGTGGCACAAACATGGCTCACTGCAGTCCAGCCTGGGTGATAGAGTGAGACCTTGTCTCCAACTTCTTGGCTCAAGTGATCCTCTCACCTCACTTGCAGGAATTATACACTGGAATTGTAATTCTGGGATTATAGGCATGAATATAACCCAATCAAATTATATTCATGCCAGGCTGACTTATATTTTCCCTATCTATCAATTTACAAAAAAAGACATAATGCATTCAGAACTGCCTCTTACTTTTAAAAATCCCTATCAGTACCCAGAATCCTGAAAACAACTGTTTTGGAAGAAGAAAAATAGGTAGAAGTTAAAGAAAGTAATACAATACAATCTTGTCAATGAAAGTCATAAGATTTGTTTATATGTGTTTATGTGGCAGGAACAATTTTTTTTTATTCCAAGTAATAGTACTACTTCAAAGATATACAAATGATATTCAGCTGATTAAGAAAAAAACAAACAAGTTGACTTCACATTTGCCTGCATGAGAAGAACATTTTTTATGAGCTACTATTATTAGGAGAAAAAAGATTGATTTCATTTGATACTGTTATGGATTTTCTGACTTACTTCTAATTTGATTTCTTAGATCCCACTGGAAAAGTCTAAGAATCAGAACAACTGGATTGCTTTGCATGAAACTTACAATAAATACAGCATTATAGCCCAGGTCAAGTATTTGTGAAAAGAAAAATATTAAAAACATCATTAATGAGGTATCTCTACAATATCATAGAACAAAAAAGATCAAAGCATTTCTGCAGTCATTTGGGAAATCAAAAAGATAGGACATTTCAGAACTAATAACATTTATTACAATATTTAGACTCCAAAGGGGTCAATGCAAACCTTTTTCTGACTTATGTTGTTGGTACTCAGCCCCTTATAGGTTCAGTTAAAGAATGTCTGTAGTGTTTCTAGGTCAGAGAATAAGAATACAGAGGTGGGGAACACCCTTATTGTCTTCAAATATTATTCCCGCATCTCTCCCAGTCTTTGACCATGAAAAACACTGTTATGAATGAAATTCAAATATAAAAATACTTCTGTAAACAAATATAATTAAATGCCACCCTGTTAAAACTGTTGATTCATTTAGGTAGACCAACATGAAACCCAATCAAAATTGTCCTCTAGGGTAGCCCTCATTTGCTAACTTTTATGCTTCCCTGTATTATTGTTGAAAAACCCAGCCATTAGAGAGAAGAAAGAATACAAGACAAAAATGGGACTCTAAGACAAATATAAACAGTCTAAATAGCCTTATCATTCACTTCATTTTCTTGATTCCTTCCTTCCTCAAGTTTCAAAAAGTGACTGACAATTTTGCAAATGAAAAGTGAAAATTCAGGACTGGCATGGTGGCTCACACCTGTAATCTCAGCACTTTGGGAGGCTGAGGCAGGCAGATCACTTGAGGTCAGAAATTTGAGATCAGGCTGGCCAACATGGTGAGACCCTGTCTCTTCTAAAAATACAAAAATTAGCCAGGTGTGGATTGTATGCACCTGTAATCCCAGCCACTCAGGAGTCTGAGGCAGAAGAATCACCTGAACCCAGGAGGAGGAGGTTGTAGTTAGCCAAGACTGCACCACTGTACTCCAGCCTAGGTGATACGGTGAGACTCTGCCTCAAAAAAAGAAAAACAAAACAAAAAACATAGTAATTTTGACAGCAGCATCACACATTAATCCATTCTCCTTTAAAAACTAATCTCTACCAACATAAATGCCCAAACATGAGTTGCTGTTTATTTAAGAAGATTCACTTGATTTTCATACAGGTATGATTTTATGTGTGACCATTAGGCATATGTGAACACTGACACATCTCCCAGGCATAGCCTTTTAGAAGAACACACATTTTTCCACCAGCTTCTTCAGAGAAACACATGAGAGTGATGTCCTATAGTCATTTTTTCAGATGTGGGCAGTCTCCAGTCAATGCCTTAAAGATAGCACTCAGGATACAGTTTCCTAAAACATCCATTTCCTATTGATTTTTTTTGTTATAAATGACTTGCATTCCCAGGACAGGAAAAAGAATTCAAAGATTTTCCATTTCTGATATTTAGTATGTGAGTCAAGTCTTAAAGATGAGAAGTTGTTAGTTTTATAAAAAGAGTCATCTGAGAAGGATACTTGATTACTAGAAAAAGAGAAAATACAATTCCGAGCACTTTGATTTATCTTGTGATGAAATCTTAAGGAAAAATCACTTTTGTGATCTCACAATCCTGGTATCCATTGCCAGTTTATGGACTTTCAAATGTACTTGGGAGAGTTTCAGTTTAAGGGGGTTCCTTATACACCAAGGTGTACCGTTCACGTTTTCTTTTTGTTCAAGCAAATGAATGTTAGATAGTTAAAATATCTTAAATTGTTCATGGAATAAATCAGGATGAAATAACAGAAATAAATTAGAAAGTGATAACTGATCTATAATTTATACTTTTCTGCATTTATTTTTGTCAAGTTTAGAAAAGTAAATCATCTTTTAGTTGAACACATTCACTTTGGTTGACAGCTTGGCCTACTTCAAAATACATTTTAGTAACAGGATCAGGAGTTTGGTAAGATATGAAAACCTTTTGAAAAATGCAGGCTTATTCACATTGAAGGCCACACAATTAATATTTAAAAATCGCCTTCAAATATGCTGGCCCCATAGTCTTCATGCCCCTCTATCACTGAGTTGTTATTCTCCTGGGAGAGTGATGCCAGGCTTTTTAATAATGAACACTGGGCAATTACTGGCAAGTCATCATTTCAACATTCTTGGGTCTTAATTTTGACATGTGGAATGAATGTCACAGTCATAAGGAAAAAAAATAGTTCAGATTTCTTGAAAGCAAAGGACGTCTGACTTAACAAAAAGTCTGAACTTGCAGGTTTTCTAAAAAGATATTGAATTATTACTGTACTTACACAGTAAATACGTCAGGATATATATATACGTTCTTTGATCCTTCTTGGAAAATAGAGCAGATGAGGATAGCAGCACAATGCTACTTACAAAAACCAGGGTGCTCTGAGAACATGAACAGGACCAGATTTCTGGAAAGTTGCAAAAGGGTTCTAGAAGAAGTACTATTATTATTATTATTATTATTTTTTTTTTTTTTTTTTTTTTTTTTTTTTTGAGACGGTGTCTTGCTCTGTCGCCAGGCTGGAGCACAGTGGCGCAGTTTCCGCTCACTGCAACCTCCATCTCCTGGGTTCAAGCGATTCTTCCGCCTCAGCCTCCTGAGTAGCTGGGACTACAGGCGCGTGCCACCACACCCGGCTAATTTTTCTATTTTTAGTAGAGACGGGGTTTCATCACCGCAAGAACGGTCTCGATCTCTTGACCTTGTGATCCGCCCGCCTCAGCCTCCCAAAGTGCTGGGATTACAGGCGTGAGCCACCGCGCCGGGCCGAAGAAGTACTATTGAGTTAAAATTTGATGGATGAGAAGTTAATTTAAGTAAGCAAAGGGCCAGCATGATGTGGGAGGTATGTGGGTTGGGTTTAGGCATGCAGAGAAGTGGGCATGAAGACCCAGAGGCAGGAAGGGACACAGCCAGTTCCAGTAAGTGAATGCCAGTCAGTGTGATGGGGATCTAAAGGAAAGGGGATGGGCTTGAAAGGAGTCAGGGCAAGAACATGCATTAATATGGTGCTGGCTTATCTTAAAATGTATCAGTGTGCTCACTCTCATGAATTACATATACTTTCTTAGCATAATACACTACATATTCCCTTTCTACTCTTATTTACATTATCAAATAGTTTATCAAGTTCTTCTATTCATAGAGATAAACTTTAACTCGATTCTTTTACCTGATGTGCAGGATTAACTCAAGGTTTCAACTAGTGGATGTGAACAAAACCAGGATTTATTGTATTTGTAGTGAAAAGAAAGTACTAGTTGAATAAATAAAAAAGGATGCATTTTTTTGAAGATAAATGGGCGAAGGATATGAACAGATACTTTTAAAAGGAGACATTTATGAGGCCAACAAACATGAAAAAAATGCTCATCATCACTGGTCATTAGAGAAATGCAAATCAAAACTACATTGAGATACCATCTCATACCAGTTAGAATGGGGATCATTAAAAAATCTGGAGACAACAGATGCTAGAGAGGATGTGGAGAAATAGGAACACTTTTGCACTGTTGGTGGGAGTGTAAATTAGTTCAACCATTGTGGAAGACAGTGTGGCGATTCCTCAAGGACCTAGAAATAGAAATTCCATTTGACCCAGCAATCCCATTACTGAGTATATATCCAAGTTATATAATAAATTGTTCTATTATAAAGACACATGCACATGTATGTTCATTGCAGCACTGTTTATAATAGCAAAGACTTAGAACCAACCCAAATGCCCATAAATGATAGACTAGACAGGGAAAATGTGGCACATATACACCATGGAATATTATGCAGCCATAAAAAATGATGAGTTTGTGTCCTTTGTAGGGATATGGATGAACCTGGAAACCATCATTCTCAGCAAACTGACACAAGAACAGAAAATCAAATATTGCATGTTCTCAGTCATAGGCAGGTATTGAACAACGAGAACATAAGGACACAGGGAGGGGAGCATCACACACTGGGGTCTATAGAGGGGGACAAGGGAAGTACAGTGGGGGATAGCGAGTTGGAGAGGGATAACATGGGGAGAAATGCCAGATATAGGTGATGGGGATGGAGACAGCAAACCACATTGCCATGTATGTACCTATGCAACAATCCTGCATGTTCTTCACATGTACCCCAGAACCTAATAATACACACACACACACACACACACACACACACACACACACACACACATATATATAAGAAAACATAAGTGGAGGGGGAAAAATAAAAAAAAAGTCTCATCTAAGTTCTATGTATGTGTTAATAAACACATATAAGAGTTTTTTTCACTCATGGAAAAGTAATTACTTGTTATTTCCTTAAGATAATTTACCCTTGACCTGACAAGATCATTTTTTTGTTTATATCAATTGTGAGTTAAATAAAAGCATTAATTTTTGCCTTATCATTTCACTCACAGTATTGCCAAAATTATTTTACCAGTTATACCTATTAAAATTTCATAATTTATTATTTCATGAAAAGTGAAGTGAAAAACATTCTAATAAACTATATATACTAATATGTATGGGGATGCAATTGTTTTATATTCATTTTTTTGCCAGCTAAAGCACCAAAGACAAATAGAGTTCTAATCAGAACATCCGCTTAAAAAATAACTTGAATAGCTGGGGAAAGGGTGGAAAGAGGGAATGGGAGAGGACTGCAAATGGGTATGAAGTTTGTTTTTGGAGTGAGGAAAATATCCTGGAGTTAGATAGTGGTAATGGGTTGTACAACATTGTGACTTTACTGAAAACACTGAATCGTACGGTTTGAAGTGTGAATCTTATAATGTGTAACTTATATTTTTAATAAAGTTGTCAATTACATTTTAAAAATAACCTGACTTATTAAATCCTAGGAAAGAAGATATGTACATTTAAATATTTTCTTAATTTTTTTCTTTGTCCTATTCACAGCCAGACCTCTATATTTCTCAATAAGGATTTACACATTGACATTATAGCAAAATTTGAACCGTCTGGAATATTGGCATGTTTTTAGAGAAAAGAAGGCTCAAGACAACAAAGAGGAAGAAATTCTAAACTAATAATCTCAAAAGCTCTACCAAGCCCATTTATGTGGTGACATAAAACAAGATGTAAACCAGAAAATTTTGTTCTCTTATGTTTGAAGCCATTTTTCCATCCTTTTTCAAAGTCTCAATATAAAATAACATCCGCATTTGACTAACTTCAAAGATGGTTCACACAACCGGACAACTGTCACATAATTCTACTCCATTAAAAGGTCTCTACTGCCTTTTCTAGGAAAGCAGATTTCATTCCCAACAACTGCGTAATCACTAACCCAGGCAAGCTGTTTAACTAATCAGAATCTGGGGCTGACAACTGCTCTAATTTACTGATTCCATTTTTGTGCCACTACAGCCATACCAAGCCCCTCAATCACTGTCAACTACAGAATCGGAGGAAGTAGACAAGTTTCATTTTTAATGATTACTTAATTAAAGGCAGAGTTAAAGTTGCATGGTTTGTTTTTATCCATCCAAAATTACTTATACAATACTTTCAAACTAAGTGACCACGGAACAAATGCACTCTCTTTTGAAGAAATGGGAAACCAAATGCAAATTCACCAAAGGAAGGATGGAATAGAGAGAATGTGTATTATTTATTTAAGACATTCAAGTATATGTGGCAAAGTAACTTTGGGCTGGCTTTAAGGTCTTTATCCATGGAAGCATTTATAATGGCACTTGCGATTTTTTTTCCAGGAAAGTTTATGCCTTATCTGTAAATGAATGA